TTCTTCCCTAGGAATGGTTTAGCCTTGAAACCTCAACTGCTAGGTAAGTGGATTCTTCTTAGTGAAAGGAGTTAACCAAATGTCAAAGTTGCTAACCAAATGGCCAACAGAATCCTACCACTGGAATACTGCTGCATTTGCTTCAGGCTAATCTTTCATGCGCGGTTCTGTTGCGGTACCGAAAGAGGACATGAACTTCAATAAGCTCATAAAACGTAGTTAGGATACTGTTTTATTTATCTTGGCTAATAGATTGTTTTTATGTGTGTTGGAACTTGTTTCCTCATAACCTGGCAACAAATTTGTAAGGGAGTAACTAATCCTCACCTATCTCCAACTGTCTGTGGCCCCCAATGTCTGCCAAAAAGAACCTAAGAACTTTGCAAGACCTAAATCACTGGATTTGGTCTATTTGTCACAAGTGGGGATAAGGCAGCCCTTTAAGAACTGCAAAGCAAGCACATATCCTGAAATATTTTCACTAATATAAGCATTATAGATAAACTGATAACATATATATTCCAAAAAATAATAGTTCAGTAAAAAGTACGTCCTACAAATAATTAGAAATAAAGTATGACTGTTATGTTTGTATGCAAATAAATGTATTGTAATTATGTTTAAAGAGCAAATAAATGTCATATAAGTGGCTTCATAACTACTTTTCTTGTAATCCTTTCTCAATAAACTGATGATAGTGCCATAATACCAACAGAATGAAGAAACTGGCTTATGCTTCACTAACTCTTTGACGGGCAATTCTTATGTAACAACTAATTCTCAATGAATTGTATTTTATTTGCACAACTGATTGCTTAAAGTTATGTGTAAAATTACTAGTATTTCTCAAATAATAGTAATGATGTAAAATGAAACACTGCAATGATGCCCTCTGTGTAGCTAAGAATTTTCTGGAATAACAGTAAATGACTAGCATATGTGTTTTTCTGGGAGAAAAGGTACACTGCTTTCATTAGATTCTCAACAGTATCTGATAAAAATTTTTCAGGAACTACTTACCATGTTTGTTTGATAAGTGTAGTATATTCTAATGAAAGCTAAAAGAAAATGAGTTGTTGTGGATTGAACTGTATCACACCCATCCTTCCCAATTCATATGTTGAAGTCCCTTTACTTCAGAATATGACCTTATTTGGAGATAAGGTCTTTATAGAGGTAATCAAGTTAAAAGAAGGTCATTAGGGTGGGCTCTAATCCAACTTGACTGGTATTCTGAAAAGAGGAAACTTGGACACAGACGTGTAGAAGGAAGATGATGTAAAGACACAGAGATGACCATCTACAAACCAAGGAGAAGGGTCTGCAAAAGATCCTTCTCTTATGACTCTCAGAAGAAACAAATCCTGCCAACACATTGATCTTGGGTTTCTGGCCTCCAGAACTACGAGACAATACATTTCTGTTGCTTAAGTTTGTCGTACTTAGTTATGGCAACACCAGCAAACGAATACATAGAATTAGGATTAAATGCCACAGCTCATTATTATTATTATTTTGAGTTAGCACTGAAGTCAGTTCCCATAAACGGTGAAATTTAGCCAGGGTCTCATTCCTAAACTTAACATATTCTGATTTTTTTTTCCCTAGGAAAATAAAAACGAAGACAGAGAATTCATTAGCTAAAATATGGGGCTCAGGATCATCTATATACTCGATTGGCTGCCTGAATCTGACCTGAAGACAGTAGGTATTGATGGTTGTGGCACCAACTAGGCAGGTAATTTTGAGCAAGACTCTTCCTCTCTCTGTGTCTAGATTTTTTTCATCCATAAAATGAAAGACTGGGTTTATAAGGTGCTTTAAAAATTTCTTCTGTGCTATGGTTTTATTTATGAATAATGAAAACATTCATGAAATACCTCAAAACTAAATATAAATGTTCTGAGGTTTCCTTTCAGAACATTCCTGGTAAAGCAAAGTATCTTCTAGTCTTCCCACATCATAAATTCAGTTTTGGGGTGCCTGGGTGGCTTAGTCAGTTAAGTGTCTGACTCTTGATTTCTGCTCAGGTCATGATCTCATCTGGAGTTGGGCTCCATGCTGACAACGTGGATCCTGCTTGGGATTCTGCTTGGGATTCTTTCTCTCTCTCTCTCTCTCTCTCTCTCTCTCTCTCTCTCTCTCCCCCTCCCTCCCTCCCTCCCTCCCTCTGCCCTTCTCCCATGCAAGCTTACTCTCTCTTTCTCTCCCTCTCAAAACAAAGAAGCTTAAAAAAAATAACTACTCGTCATGCCCACTGACTAGAAGAGCTTAGCACAGTGCCCACTGGGCACCCAACAAATGGTAGCTATTACTATTAAAAATCTGTAACTCTTGTATTTCTAATCATATCACCTTCAACACTACAGGCACTTGACAACTGTGTCTTATATTAACTGAAATGTAACATGTTGTAGAACCTTTCCCTTGAAGATACAAAACACTAGGATTATTTTCTCTTTCTATCCCTGTGGACTCCCCCCCCCCATTCCTCTTAATCTGTAATTATAAAGCTCTCAATAGATTTTTCAAAAAATTTATAACTATCTCTTAAGTATACTCTTTTGCTCCTTGTTCCATTACATCTAATCTACCATTAGGTTATTCCATAAATCTGAAGGGGTATGCTATTCTAAGATTGCTAAAGAGAGATTATTTTCCTTCCTTCAGTAGTGCCAAAAAATATTTTATTTACACTTCTTCCATCATACATATATCTTTAACTTCTACAAATAAGATAGATTTAGTAGTCTTGGCATAAGAGAAATATACAGTCCCTGAATTATGAAAATTTCAACTTCGTGATGATACGAAAGTGATACGCATTCAGTAGAATCCATACTTTGAATTTTGATCTTTTCCTGGGCTAGCAAATATGTGGCACAATATTCTCTGGTGATGCTGGGTGGCAGTGAGCCCCACTCCCAGTCAGCCATTCCATCACTGCGAGTAAACAACTCTTACGATCATTCAGTACTCATTCAACCATTCTGTTTTTCACTTTCAGTACAGTATTCAATAAATTACATGAGGTATTGACACTTCATTATAAAACAGGCTTTTGCCCAACTGTCACCTAAAGTTAAGTGTTCTTCAGATAGACTAGGCTAAGCTATGATGTTTGGTAGGTTAGTTGTATAAAATGTACTTTTGACTTACGATGAGTTTATTGGGTCATAACCCCATTGTAAGTTGAGGGCGCTCTGTACATTAGATGTTAATGGCTGAAGATACTGGAAAATATACCTTATTGGTAAAGGATTTCTCAAAGAATGCTGTAAAACTTTACCTAAAAACTTACTGATTTGTGATACACCTCAGAGATCAGGAAAAGACTCTCCTCACCATCAACAAGCTGATTTCAAGCTTTCAAGAATCAAGGGATCTGAGTTATTGATGTCAAAAGTATTGTTAATTTCACATTGTTTGGGGGGCAATAGAATATAATCTAATAGAGAGAGGCAATCAAATTGTTTGGAAAACTGCTGTTCTTGTTTTTAAGTACTTCTGTAACCGAAGCATGTAGTTAGTGATAATTGCTCAAAAAGTCAAATTCTAAAAACTCCCTCTTAACATTCCTATGCTTTCTTCTCCTGTATCTCACATGGCTTTTTATTCTCTCCTTCAAGTCCCTGCATATTATGGCATGACTGTCCTATGGGGCAAAAGGCTCTCAGGATTATCTTCCCTGTTTCCAAATCGCCTCTCAGCCTGTGCAACTCAGTTACACCAGCTGGATGGGCACTGATCCCAACCTTGAAGATCCCCAGGAAGACGGCACAACATCTCTCAAACATTTCCTACTGCATAATTTGTATTCTAAAGAAGCAGAAACAGAACTAAAACACTGATTTGTGTTTGTCTAGTATATACCTCCCAGTCATTTAGAATAACTGTGCAGTTTTCAAAAATTCAAATTAATTTTTTTTTTTTTTTATTGAGACAGAGAGAGAGCCCGCGAAGGCGAGCTGGGGACAGGGGCAGAGGAAGGGAGGAGGAGGGGGGATAGACGGAGAGAGAGAGGGAGAATCCCAAGCAGGCTCCAGGCTCACTCACTAAGCCGCCCAGGCGCCCCTAACTTAAACAACGCTGGAAGGGCAGGCTTTAGGTAACTCTCCTAGAACATTATGAAACTTCTGCGAAGGATGAAAGCCAAATAAAATACGGAGAGTGCCAAAGAGAAACGAAGAATCTCCCAGGAAAACAATTTGAAATGTGTCGGTAAGAGAATGATTATCTTGAAACAGAAACTTAATTGTGGTGGGTTCTCCCAAGGTCCGCGAGAAAAGAGGGGAGGAGAGAAACAGAGTAAGGGGCAGCTTCAGCACAAAAGATACAAATCCGACAACCGCAGAGACAGGAAGACCCTTAGGGGTTCGTCACCCAGCGCCCCGTCCGACCGGCGAGCGAAAGCCCCTCCACATATCCGGGACTATGGTCGCGCGGCCTCTATATTCCAAGACAGTCACCTCTCTTCCGCCCCCTTCTCCCAATGTCCCTTTCCGAGGACGCTGTCACCCACCTCCGAGCACTGTGCCCAGGAAGATGCATTTCTTTTTGTGACGTTTTAGAAAATTCCACATAGAGCTCAGCATCTTTAGACCCTGAAGGTGCGGGCTGTCTAAGGGCGGCGGGGATGGGAAGGGGCTGTTCGCCAGGAAAGCGTTTCCTCGTCACTTGGCCCCAACGACCAGGCAGCACCTCCGTAATCCCGCTCGGTGCTCTCCAGAAATCACAAACGCGACTTTCCGCAGAGACTGTCACCGGGGCGGGGAGGGGGCGTGGACTACAGGCGAGCAGCTGCGCTTTCTGCTGCTGCCGCCGCGCCGCCGTCGCCGCTCACTGGTCCGTGCCCCCCGGGTCCGTCTAGAATTCGCTCCCGAGTGCGTCGCCGTTCGACTTCCCCGGAAACCGCGGCTCGCGTCCGCCGCGTTCCGTTGCCGGCGCTCCGCTGCTGTTGCTTCAGCCTCGGGCGCTGAGCGCCACGGCCCGGGTGCAGGATGGAGGCAAAGGCGGCCTCCATGCCGGCTACTGGTGGCGCCGGGTGCTCGGTGACGGCGGACGAAACCCAAAAGTGGATGGAGGAAGCGATGCAAATGGTGAGGAGCCCAGGAGGTGCGTGCCGTGGGTGGGAACTTTTCTTTGGTCCCTCTTCCCGACCCGGGCATTTAAGCAAACGTCCTGCGTGTGCTTTCTCGTCACCATGATCTCGATGGCGGTCACATTTCTGGGTGAACTGCTGGCTTTACTCCCCTGAAGTTTTCTTTAGTCCATTCGCACAGTGCTGTGGGGGAAGGAGGAGAGGAAATACAAAAATCATTTCTTTTTTCACTGGTATCAAGTATGAACCAAACACCCCCATTCAGCTGCTGCTGGTATGTACGTGCTGCGTCCCCTTCTTTCCCCGAAGACACACTCGCAAATCCGGAAAGTTACATTATTGTGTATTTATGACCTCTTGAACCTGTCTAGTAGGAGAAAGGACGCTGAGGATGTATCTGATAGAGAGCAGGGTAAAAACAAGTCCCTGTACAGTCAGATCTACCATTCATTCATTCATCCTTCCATGCTACTGCCCTGTTTTTTTTTCACTTCCCTCTCTCGCTCCGTTCAGGACTGCTGATTAAGAAGAGCTCTAATCAGATTTGTGTATAATCTAAGCTTTACCCATACTTATGAGGACCAGTGAGCTCTTTAATAGGGATAAAAGTGTGTGTTGGCTTATATACGTATATGTATATAAATATATGCACCTGCACACATATACATGTGTAAAATGCCCTTCAGTTTTACATTTCTCTAAGGCTGCTGTAAATCTTTTTTTCATACATGCTTTTGATTATATTCTTTTTTTTTCATATTCCTATCCTTAGTGGCTTCTGGTCTCCAATAGTTAATTAGTTCCATAATTATTAATTAATTCACTCCATACATGTTTATTGAGTACACTATGCTTGGCATTGGAAATTTAGTACTGCAGCTGATTTTGGTATATTCTTTGTTCTCTACTCATACTATTACCCCTGCATTCATTCTCTATTACAACCAAATATTTTTCTCTAAGCCATGATGTATTACAGCATCTCTCCATTTGTTTCTGTTACTTACATAATGTTCTTTTAAACTTGTTTCTCATACTTTTTTGGAAGTGACTCACAATAAAAAAAGTCTACTTTATATTACAACGCAATAAACTCACACATAACTATAACTGAAATAAAAGTTTCACAGAACAGTATTTAACCTTCCTATGTACAGTTTTCCTGGTACTTCAATTTTATTGAATTTTTTTCTTTTTTTGTGGGGGTTGCTATTTATGACAAATGTTCCATCTGTGAGCCTCTCCAGTCAGAAGTTCTCTGAAACGATGCTGTTGGCCTTGGCTAGTAGGAGGATGGAGTCATCTGACTCCCCCATCCTGTTAACTGGTCCACAGATAGTGTAGGTTTTAAACTGGCTGTTGAACCTACTTGTCACCTGGTCAACCTCAGCCAGATTCATCTGGATGGGCACATGGTCCTCTTGGCCCAGATGATGCCCTTGCTGGTAGAGCATTTCCATGTCACATTCACATCCACAAATTGGCCGACGTGGTACTGCTGGTCCTGATCCACTGACTTGATTTTAGGACCTATTCTTTGAACACATTTCATAATTTATTTCCTCCATTAAACTTACAAGATACATAGCATTCTGATACTTTGATTATTGTTGACATACACATTTAAAAATTAATTTGTAACTTGTAATATGGATGTTTGTCCTGAACTTCTTTTATGTTACTAATTACTCTAAGTTGGAGACAAGGAGTTTTCACTTGACATCTATGAGAAATAAGCCCACTGACCTGATCAAAGGAAAGAGGCCAAGACTCGGAGCACAGTGAAGCAAGGCTTTAATCAACCAAGCGTGGGTGTCTGATGAACAGGCACATTGGTGACAGTCACAGCAGGCAATTTATCTCCTAGCACACAGGTCCCTCCCCTGATTTCTCATTGGCTGAGTACTACAGAGGTTACAGCCTTTCCCGGAGGTTGCCTATGCCCATGTAAGGCAAAAGGTAGTCTGATTGGGACAAACCTATTCCCTGCAGTGAGGCAGAGACTTTCATTCCCTCCTCCCTTTATTCTATGGCACATGTTCATTGCAAAACCTGTGAAAATAAGTCCACCAGACAGAGAGCGGAAGAAGAACCAGGAAGTGAAGTGTCTAAGGGTTTGGGACTCCATTGTAGGGGGGTGGGGGTGGGGGTGAGGGTTGCACATATTTCCAGTAGGTTGTAGACCTATTAGGTTAACTGGACAGCCCAGCTTTTATTTAGTATTTCTGAAAATGAACCATCTCCTTTACTTCTCACAATATCAAAATTTCACTCTTCCCCAAATCATTTCAATAATATCTTAGGCAGCTTCTTACGAGGGAGGATGATAATATATACACAGGAAGCTAAAATATCTTAAAGTAAGCTCTCACCCTTCCATAGGTGAGAGCTCTGGAGGGCAGACGATGCCTGAATGCTAGGAAGTCAGAATTTGCGGGCCCTTTTGTCTACTTTCATTTGCTTCATGAGCTCTCTTCAAAGTATTTATGTCTGGAGATTTTCCGAGATGCTACCATAGAGAACTGAATGGAGGTTTTCAGAAACAGCAGACTTTAATAAGTCATTGAGCATTCCCACTCCTGTATCCGAGCTGTGGTTTTTTTTTTTTTTTTCATCCTTTCATTTTTTGGGTCTTTATTTTCCTTTAACCTTTAAGTGTCGTTTGTTCGTAATATATTGGGACATTTCATTCACATACCTCTGCACTATTCTCTAGACTTCTGGCCCAAACACTTAAGTCCTTTTACTACCTTTTGCTGCCTCCCCCTGGGGTTTCCCTTCCTACTCTATAGAAGGAGATGGATCCAAATAGTTTCCAAGATCTCTCTGGCCTTGACATTTTTGTCTCTTAATTGGATTATAAGCACTTGGGGATGGGATTGCCTAGTTTACCTATTCCTACACAGGGTCAAGGAGGCCCTTGTGGTTTGGGCCGGTACATGTTCTTGCAGGCCTTAAACAAAGGGGAGGAAGTGCTTGTCATAAATCTTGTTCTTTGTTCAATCATCTCCTCCCCACTATGGAAACTTCAAATCTTAAATCACTTCGAAGATAGTTGAGGTGATTCAAAGTACACTACGTACTTATGAGAAGCGTTTAAGATGAAACCAGAAACGTATCTAGGGCCAAATCTGTTAAGCTCTGAGGAATTTGAAAGTGCAATATGCCGTATTCATGTAATAGGTAGGATACTAGCATTTTCATAACTTTTGTACAGAGTAGACATATTTATATGGCCAATTCAGATAGCTAGAATGTCTGGCTCTGACGATCTTGGTCTTACTCTCTTCGTGTTTAAAATAAAGTGTTTTAGCTTACTTGGTAGTCGGTGCCGTATGATCAGCCAGGGTCACACATCTCATGTCCAGGAGGCTTGAGCCCCCACAAGGTTTGGCTGACAGCCTCCCAGCCTGAGCCTGTTTCCACTTGTGTTCTCTCTGCCCTCCTCCGGGTTTCAGGTGCTCTTTTGTCTCTCTCTGTCTCAAAAGTAAATAAACGTTTAAAAAAAAAAATTAAAAACAAAACAAAACAAAAAAAAAGTAATTATAAAAAAAAAATAAAATAAAGTGTTTGCACTAGGAAATTTCTATCCTAGTTTGTGATTTTAATATACCAACATAAGCCTGGGTTATAAGAGAAGGGAAAATGGTTTTGAGAGAGCTTAAAAATGTATTTTTTTAAAAATGTCATCTAAAATTAGTGAGTTTGTACAAAAATCAATACAACCCTACCAGTCTAATCATTACAACATTTTTGGAAGGCAACCTGGCATAATGTAATTAGCAGCCTCAAAAAAATAAATGTTCATATCATTTGACCTTGTAATACAGTTGTGTGGCATTTATCTTAAGGAAATAGTTTGGGAGCATAAAAGCAATCCTTGTCATTTCAGGGTTTTATGTAATAGGGAAGACTAGGAAGCATTTAAAACTTACAATGAAGGGAAATGGTTAAATTGTGGTATATGACTGTGTTGAATAATGTGCTGTTATTGAAACGATTATGAATACTAGGTACAAACATGACATTAACTATCACAGCTACATGTGATATTCAACATTAGGCAAACAGAAATACAAATTATTTTATATTATATGGGTATGTTTAAAGTTTGGATAGGCATATGTTCAAACCCCAGAGTGGCTACTGACAGCCAACTAACTTTGACAGGTTGTTATCCTTTCAGCCACAGAGGCCTCGTCTATAAAATGGGTATATAGTATCTAGCTCACAGAGTTGTGTAGATTAAAAGAGATCATGTTTGTAAAGCCCTGACATATTATCCTCAATAAATAAAAGCTTTTTTTTCATCAAATAAACAAAGACTAAAGGAGAACACACACAAATAATTAGCTAACATGGTAAAGATACGTTTTTTTGTTTTGCTTTTTTTTGTTGTGTGTGTGTGTTTTTTTTTAGACAGAGACCACAAGTGGGGGTCAGGGGCAGAGGGAGAGAGAGAGAAGATCCCAAGCAGGCTCCAGACTAACTGAGCCACCCAGGCGTCCCAAAGATTTGGGTCATTTTAAAGAAATTCAATACTATGCTTTGGTTTATTTATTTTTTATTTACTTTTTTAAAATTTTATTTTTTTAATTTACATCCAAATTAGTTAGCACATAGTGCAACAATGATTTCAGGAGTAGATTCCTTAATGCCCCTTACCCATTTAGCCTAACCCCCCTCCCACAACCCCTCCAGTAACCCTCTGTTTGTTCTCCATATTTAAGTCTCTTATGTTTTGTCCCCTTCCCTGTTTTTATATCATTTTTGTTTCCCTTCCCTTATGTTCATCTGTTCTGTGTCTTGAAGACCTCTTATGAGTGAAGTTGTATATTTGTCTTTCTCTAATTTCGCTTAGCATAATACCCTCCAGTTCTATCCATGTAGTTGCAAATGACAAGATTTCATTCTTTTTGGTTGCCAAATAATACTCCATTGTATAAATATACCACATTTTCTTTATCTATTCATCCATCGATGGACATTTGGGCTCTT